AGTTTGTGTGTGTGTGTGTGTGTGTGTGTGTGTGTGTGTGTGTGAAAGAGATAGCATTCCTAATTTCTTTATTAGTATGTTAATTATTGGAGTATAGAAAAATAATTGATTTGTAAACATAGATCTTGTATTCTACTAATTTGCTGAATTTGTTTATAAGCTCTTCAAGTTATCTGGTGGAGTTGTTTTGGGTTTTCTAGAGATAGGATCATGTCATCATCAAACAGGGAAATTGTATCCCTGTCTTTTGTCCTGTACAAAAGTCAACTCAAAGTAGTTCTGTGACTTAGGTATTAGATCACATACTTTGCAACAGCTAAAAGAAAGTATAGTATCAGTTCTCCTACATATTGGCACAGGCACCAACTTCCTTAAAAAGACTCCCAAAGCAGAAGAAACAAAACTGAGAATATAAATGGGATAATATCAAATTAAAGTTTTTGTACTGCAAAGAAAACAAGGGCATGAAGAGAGTCTACAGAATGGGAGATCTTTTTGAGCCACTTTTTGACAGGGGAATCCAGAATATATAAAGAACTAAAAAAAAAAAAAAGTCACAAAACCAAAATAACCCAATTCATAAATGGGCAGAAGAGTTAAACAGACACTTCAAATACATGGGACAAATATATAGAAAAAAGAAGTTCAACATCCCTAGCAATAAGGGAAATGCAAATCAAAATTACATGAAGATTTTTGTCTCACTTCAGTTAGAATGGCAAGCTTCAAGAATACAAATAATAATAAATGCTGGCGAGGAAGTGGAGAAAATGATACCCTCATATGTTATCGGTAGTACTGCAAATTAGCACAAACCCTTTTGAAGGCAGTGTGGAGATTTCCTTAAAAACACTAGCAATGGAACCACCATATAATCCAACTATTCCACTCCTCAAAAGAACTAAAATCAGCATACTATAGTAATAGAGGCACATCAAAGTTCTAGCAGTGCAATTCACAACAGCCAAGTTATGGAACCAGCCCAGGTGCCCATTAATAGATAAATGGATAAAGAAAATGTGGTATGTATACATAATGGAGTTTTACTCAGCAAAAAAGAAGAGTGAAATTATGTAATTCCCTGGTAATTGGATGAAGCTGGAGAACATCATGCTAAGTGAAATAAGCCAGATCCAGAAAGTCAAGCATCGAATATTTTCTCTCACACATGGAAACTAGACTAAAATAATGAAAGAAAAGGAAGAGGGAATCCCATGAAAATAGAAGGGGGATCAATAGAGGAGAGGAAGGGGATTAAGGGGAAGGAGGACGATGGGAGGAGGAGGAATGGTGGGATGAAATTGACCAAATTATGCTATGCACATATATGAACATACCACAGTGAATTCTACCTTTTTTGTATATGTATGAAGATCTAATTTTCAGAAAGCAATGAATAAATACAAGGAAGATCGATAGAGTAGAGGAAGGGGAACAGGGACAGAGAAAAAAGGAGGGAAAGAGGAAGTACTGGGGACTGAAGTGGAGCCAATTATACTCCAAACATGTATGATAATATCAAAATAATCCTAATATTATGTATAATTATAACATACAAATGAAAGTACGACATTTTTTAAAGGTACAGTCATTTTAATTACCTTTAAATAAATATTTGTACAGTGAACTGATAAATCTGATGAAAGAATGAAAAAATGAAAGTACAAAGAATAGAATTACAAATTGACAACCCTGGTTCATGTCTCGTAGCTGAAAACCTCCACAGGAACTTGTTGAATGAAAAGTAATATGTACACTTATATAATGTTATATGTCTCTACCATGGGCACTGCAGTAGGATTAAGTTTTGTGGTGAAACCTTTGGGGTGTAATAAGGAAACATGAACTAGTGGGAGCTACACTTTAAGGTCAATTCTCAACTGGAATAAGCAAGAGTAAAGTAATGTGCAGATACTCATATACCACAGGGAAAATTACATACCTGAGTCTGAATGCCTGGTTGAGGATTCAGTTATATGCTCTGAAAATTTAGAAATATTTAAGAAAGGAGAAAAAATGGAATTCAGCATTTTAAAAACACTTAACAAAACTTCTTAACAGAAAGTATCCAAAGCCAGTGTTATGATTTGGAGACTTTTTTTCTTTTTTGGTACTGGGGATTAAATCCAGGGGCACTTAACCACTGAGTCACACACCCAGTCCTACTTTTTATTGTTGTTGTTTTGAAACAGGATCTTGCTAAATTGCTTGGGGGCCTCACTAAGTTGCTGAGGCTGGCCTTGAACTTTCATTTCTCCTACAATTCCTCACAAGCAGCTGGGATTATAGTCATGCACCACCTTGCCTGGCTGGATAGATTTTGATCACCAAGGTTTATGTCTAGAAGCTTGGTCCCCAGTGTGGTCATGCTGAGGTGGTGGAAACTTTCAAAGGTGGGGCTTATTGGGAGGAATAGTGCTATATGAAGGTATTAAGGCAGAGTTTTCAGAGTTAGCTTTCCAAAGAGCAAGTTGTAGTAAAAGAACGAAAATGGTCTTGGCTTCCTGTCTCACCATCTGATCCCTTTTTCAAGTGTTCCTGTCATGGTGCCACCTGCTATGTTGTAACCCAGCCTAGAGGGCCTTCTCCAGAGGCTGAACAGATAAGGTTCTGTTATAACAATGAATATAACCAGTAAATATAGAGTTATTGTACGTTCTTTTTTGTAGCTGAGTGCTCTTTCTCTTTTTCTTCCTAACTTTCTATCTTCATGAATGTTAGAAGAAAATGTGAACTGCAGAAAGATTTGGGAGAAAGGGCCAAAGTCAGAGCTAGCATGAGGCACAGGGGAGGACTTGCTTCCTGATGCCTGCTCCTTCCCTTTCTCTGTTCCCTCTTCCTTGGCTAATTTTTCTACCCTCAGCACCTCACCTCCTGTGTTGGATTTCACAGCTGCTGGCCCAAGGAGGATAGTATTCTGGGAAGACATGTAGTGATGGTGAGCCATGGAGATGCTCCCATGTTACAGTAGACACCATAGCTGTTGATTACGCTTTCTGTTACAAACAACCAATGCCTTTGATTCTTCATCTCTTAAATACTTGTTTTCATAAATACACTGTCTTATTTAAATGTAAACCAATTTTTCAGGATTCCTGATGATAAGTTGACTATAGACCATAAGCAATGAGTAAAGGTGGCACATTTGGAAATGCATTTGCCGTATTACAGTGAAGTGCCCAGATTGCATGTATGGACACTTTATCTCCATGAAAAGGAGCTTCATAGAATGTTCAGACAGCAAATTCAGACTTCAGTGTAAGATTTAAACAATATTTTCTCTCCCATGCTGAGTTTAATAGTAGATTCTGTTTCTTGAGTGACAGAGGGTAACATATTTGATAGTTTTAGCTACATTGGTGCCAAGAAGGGAAACATATATTGTGGGTTCCAAAATGCAGGAAGTAGATGATTTTGTTTGCTTATACAGAAGGGGAATATTAACTGGGAAGTCTATATCCAAGACAAGGCTTAGAACCTCAGAAGATTCTGTATCCTTAGTTTCTAAAGGAAATCCTGTGGAATATGTTTTACAACATATTCAATATATTTCATTTAGAATGTTTTAGAAAAACTTAAAAAGAAGGTGTCCTTTCTTGTATAATGAGAAATGACTTTGGTCATGGTAACATATAAACATTGACACTACTTTATTTTACTAGGATCTCCTTTGCTTTTGCACAGTGTTTGTCCTCAGGCTGGCCCCTTCTGTGGCTTCAAGATGGGTACAATAGTTAATGATTTCCCATCCAGGCATGGGAAAGTCCACAGGAATAGAGAGTTCAATTCTTACTTGTAATTATTTGTAAGATTAAAGGATATTTCCAAGAAATCCCCAGTCAATATCCATTAACATCTTATTAGATGGAAATATATCATTTGCCCAAGTGAAATCAATCATGGGCATCATCAGGCAGGAACTACACCCAGGACTGGGGATGATGTTGACCTTGTCTGAACAATGTCATGTAGAACATTGTGCATCCCTGAACAAAATTAAGACTAGAAAGAAATCTAATCCAGTGGGAGTGCAAAGAGATGTTGGTTAGATGACTAATAGGGTTTACTGTAAGATCAGTCTTTTTAAAAATAATTCTGGTGCTAAGGATCTAACCCAGTGCCTCACATGTGCTAAGCAAGCACTCTGCCACTGAGCTACAGCTCCAGCCCCTCTCTGTGTGAATTTTAGGATATATTTTATTCTCCTGAGTATTATGATTATTTATGGTAGGACATAATGTATAGCATGCCCCTTCTGTTTAATTTATTTGGAGGGTTTTTTTTCCTTTGGTTATTTCTGGTTGTTCTTTCCTTGTGTTATAAGCTCATATGCAAATTAAGATTACTGTTATAAACTCATATAAATATTAGCACTTTAAAAGCAAAGAATAGTATCACATACCTGAAGGTTCAGGTAGTATTCATTTTGGCCTCCCAGAATAGGAATCCATATGAGAAATTGCAACTTACAACTTGGTGAGGAGGAACGTTCAGTTGTGATGATAAGAATCAAGAGGACAGGGGTTGTGTCTCAGTGGTAGAGCGCTTGTTTTGCATGTGTGAGGGATTGGGTTCGATTCTCAGTTCCACATATAAATAAGTAAAATAAAGGTCTATTGACAACTTTAAAAAAAAAGTTTTTTAAAAAAGTCAAGAAAGCTGTTTGCCCACTTCCCAGCCTGCCTTGTGGCTAATTCAGAGATATGGGTTTTACTTAAGAGGCATAAGCATTTTCTTCTCCCTCCCTCCACCCTTTCTACTTCTCCTTTGTTTCCTGCCACTTTCCTCTCCACCTCCTTCCCCTCCTCTTCCTCTTTCTCTTCTTCAGTCCTCTTCCTCCTCTTTATCTCTCTGTCACAGTAGCAGTTTTCTCACCAAATATGAACTGATGTATGATCTAGGGTGGTTTCCTGGCTTCTTAATCTTTGCATAGCTGTCTAGATCTACTAGTTCTGTGAGCCAGCCAATGTGTTTTTAAGAAATTGTTCTGCTTATTTCAGGGAGAGCCAGTTGCTACTGATAGCAGCTGAGAACCTGGACTAATACAAGTACTGAGGCAGAGAGTGTGGCCAATACACAGCAGAAATAACACTGTAAAATAAGAAGAAAATATGTTAATAAACGTGGCCAAATAGAGGTTCGTGACTATAGAAGGTAAGGATTTATTCCAGAGAATTGGGTCAGCAGGGAAGACAGAGTAGTTCTGAATTGTCAGGGAAATGTTTATATGAGAGTCTGTGCTCCAGAGGAGTCCAGGATTTCCCATCAGTTTACACTTTTGCATAAAACAGCTCAACAAACAGATATTGCCAAGGTATAACAGGATGACAGGGAGAAATATTTTCACCCAAGTGTTGAGAATGGTGGCTAATGGAAGCTAAAATAACTAAAATGATTATATAGGACATTCATTCCAAAAACAAGATTTGACTCATGAAAATCTGTTTAGGAATGCATACATTTTATACAAGAAAAAAATGGATAAGCTTAAGTAACATATTTAAATAAACACCCAATGCAAATATGTACAATCTTTTTTTCAAAGAAGTTCATATAATTTAACCATGCTATTGTGTTTGCAAAGTTAAGAACCTTTCTTCCCTTTGTAGGAAATATTATTAGCTACCACCATGCTTACTTAAATTAAACTTGGGAAATTTAATTCATTTTTTAGGAAAAAAAATGGAAAAAAGTAAAAATGTACCATGGACATGCCCATATATAAAAATATGAAAGACTTAAGAAGTTTGTAGAAAATGGCAAATAATTCAAATAATTCTCAGCATGGAGCCTAATCTGTTATGGTTTAGCTAATTTGTAATAGCAAGATAACATCAGATCAAATACACAATTTTTTGTCAATTTACTAAGATTGACCTTATCAAAACAAAGTTATACTGTTTTTCTAAGCACTTTGCATTGGACAAAAATGAATTTCCTCTCCAGTTCCTCACTAGATGAAATGAATAATATTCTTCTAAAACATGGGCTTGTGTGTGATTATCCAACCAAATAAAATTATTACTGATCTGCAGGAGATAATGACTTAGAGATAATAACTGTTCAATCGGATGACTTCTGTGAGTCTCTCCTCATTGCATTTGAGCCCTGTCATGATTCCCTTTCCTGGCCAGCATTACATTCAAAGGAGCTAATTTCTCACAGGCCGCAGTCTATTTCTTCTTACCAGACTTCAAGTGCTCATCTTACTCTTTACTTTGAAATAAATAAATACACACACCCACACCCACACACCCACACACACACACACACACACACCAGGAAATTAGGCAGAACATCAGATTTTAACAGAAAGTCAAACTAATTTCAATCAGAGCCATCTTCATATTTTACTGATCTTCTATAAAAAATCATAGATTTAAAAACAGATTTCTCTAATATATATAGACATATCTCAATGCAAGTAACTCTTACTTCTCCTACTGCATTTCTTAGTTTCTTTTTTCTTTTTCTGGATTGAACTCCCAAGGACATTTAATCACTGAGCCACATCCCCAGCCCTTTTTTAGTTTTTGTTTTGAGACAGGGTCTCACTAACTTGCTTAGGTCCTTGCTAAGCTGGCATCGAACTTGCAGAAGTACTGGGCACCAAAGTAAAGCAAATTATATTCCATGCTTTTATGATTATGTCAAAATGAACCCCAATGTTATGTCTAACTATAATGCACTAATAAAATAGTGGTGTGCTAACACATCATTATCTGTTAATACAACCTGCTACTTGGCATATAGTGAGGGCATAAATCAACATTTATCGAATGTGTCACTCAATAGTTGATAGCATTAAATATGTTACTATTTTATATTTTCTTCTGTATCCCAAGAAAATAATTTTAGCAGTAGAAGTATTTTCATGGGCTCTTCTTGAGACATTAAATTTTGCTTTTACATGGTAAAGTTTCAGGAATTCTAATTTAGAATATTATTGTATGCCACCCACTCAAGTTTAGCTTGATATACTAGGTTTCATGTTCCTTCTCACATGTGGGCCTAAGGAAGCAGGGATTGAACTTTTATTGGCAGCTCTCTCTTTGTTTGAGTCTGTCTCATTTCCCACCACTCCACCACACACTATTTAGGTACTTGGCCATATTAAATTTCAGGCCTTCTCACCCAAAGCAGGGCATACTTCCCTGTCACTGGCATGACCACATGGCTTCCTATAGCCAATGGGATATTAGTAACCATGCTGCAAGCAGATGTTTGAAATATGCTTGCACAGTTGTGAACACCCTGCTCTCTTTATTGGCCTGGGGGAGGAAAAATGTCTCTATAGCACAGCCATAGTAGCTGACTAGAGCCATCGTAGCTGACTAAGTTGTAAACCAAGGCAACTCCTGTCCCCACAATCTGAAGCAGAAATATCTCCTGCAGAATGTGTTCTTGTGAGCAAGAAAGAAATGCAAATAGTTGCATGCCAAGGAGATTTTCTAGGCGCTTGTTATGTGGTAATAATGACTAATAGAGAAATAATTGGAGAGTACTGAATTGCAGCTTTACTAGCTCAGTCTGCTCCCAAGGAAATTGGTGATATAGACAATAATAATGAAAATCCCCACTTATTAGTGCCTGTCAGTTGCCAGCAATAACTGGATGCTTTGCACATTGTAGTCCCATTTCATCCTCTGAAATCAAAAACTTTATGGAGTGGGTAATATTAGCCCTGTTTCATTCCCAGGAATTTAGGATTCAGAAGTGGTCTTTATCCAAAGGTCACAAAGTAAAGACATTGAAATTCAAAGTAAAGATGTTGCAGTTCAGTACCTTTGTACCATTTACCCCTACATTTTAATGGGACAGAATTTAGGTTGCCTTCCTGCTTTTGGTAGTAAGGAATGGATAGGAATGAATGGAGTGATTTTCATATATTGAATAATCACAGCCTAAAATAAATAAATGAATAAATTTATTAGATTCACTACAATTTTTATTTGGCAAAATATTCACTAAGCTTTATGGTATTGGATTCATGTGCAAAATAATTGAAAAGAAAAGCAGGAATGCTATAACAAACAAAAGTTTCAGAACTATTATGATGCCTATTTTGAACCTCAGCATTGTAGAATTCTACTATCCTCAGAGTGCAAACCACAGAGCAAGAAGAACATCTGGAGGGTTTTTGGAAAATGCAGATCAGGCTAGCAGGGGGTGGTGACACATGTCTGTAATCCTAGAGGCTCAGAGGCTGAGGCAGGTGCATAGCAAGTTTAAAGCCAGCGTCAGTAACTTATGGAGGCCCTAAGCCACTTAGCGAGACCCTGTCTCAAAATATAAAATAAAAAGGTCAGGGGATGTGGCTCAGTGGCTAAGTTTCCTTGGGTTCAATTCTAGGTATAACAACAACAACAAAAGTGCAAATCTGTTGATATACCTTACACTTAAGTTGATAGAGATAGACAGAATGACTGTGATCTGAATGTCTGTGCCCCACCATCAACAATCCATATGTTAACTCTCATGACTAATGTGATGTCTTAGGAGGTAAAGACTTTAAGGAGATTATTAGATTATAAAGCCTGATTCCTTATAAATGAAATCAATTCTCTTATAAAAGAGACCCAAGGGAATTTCTTAGCCCCTTCCACCCTATTGAGATGACCACCATCTATGAACCAGAAAGGAGGCCCTCCCCAGATATGGAATATGATGGCACCATAATCTTGGACCTCTTAACTTTCAGAGGTGTGAGAAATGAATCTGTCATTTTAGCCACCAAGTTGAATGGTAGTTTACTATAGTAGCTCAAACAGACTAAACTGTAATAATTTAAAATTGGGAAGGGGTTTAGAATTAGATAAATGTTTGAGGAAATGCTGTATCTCTTTCTAAAAATGTGTCCCAGGTATAAGAAACATTCTATGCAAAGGTGTTAAGGCAGGAGTGCATTTGATGTGTTCCAGGAACATCAGGCAAGGCAATAGGGGAAGATCGAGTTGGAGAATGATAAGAGATGACATCAGCAAGTGAGAAACCGCCTTCTAGGTTATAGTAAGAACTTCAGCTTTATTCTGAATGAAATGGAGAGTTGCAGAATTTTACATGAGAGAAAACTGGGGTGGAGGACACAAAAGTAGAAGCTGGGATGCAATTTACAAAGCTAATGTGAACATGCAAGTAAGAGATGATGACAGCTCAAGACCAGGAATTTGGCAGCAGCGATGAGAAGAGGTAGTTGAATATTTAAAAAAATAATAATGATAGTTAATAAATAAATATGTTTTAAAGATAACACCAATAATATTTCCAGGTAAATTTTTAGTGAAATAAGATGAATAGTTGAAAATGACTGCAAAATTGTCATCCTGGGCAATTAGAAGAATAGAGTTATTCTTAAATATGATGGGGAATGTGACAGATGGTTCAGGGTTTGAGTGGGGATACTGAAAGTTTAGTTTCCATATGTTTATTTTACATTACAATCAGATTCAAGAAAGGCGAATTTAATGGCCTGTAGTTGGAGTGGAATGAAGTTAGGATTAAAGGTGTAGATTTGGTGGTCATTTGCATGCTCATGAATAATCATGAAATGCATAAAGGAGTGAGTATAGAGAGAAAAGATATTTAAGGCATCAGGCCAAGGCACTCACAAGTGAGATTAGAGAAATGTGGGGCTCTGTTGAAACCACAATAATTTCCTCTAAGCAAGAGAACAAACTCCAAGAGTTATACACAATGAGTCAAAAATTTGAGCCAGGTCACCCTTTCCTTAAACATTTTTGGTGACATTTTTACATAGTTGCTTGACATGGCAATTAACACCAAACGCACGCACGCGCGCACGCGCGCGTGCACGCACACACACACCAAGCCATCATACATATGCATACTTGATTTTCGTCCATGTATCTAGAGCTTTGACAAATCCCTATGAACAGAGTTGTGCAAAATTAGGGAGAAATGCAAGCTATACAAAAATTAGTACATCAGATTAGTCCACAATTAGAGCCCCACCTCCTTCTTACAATTTTTGTTAAAGAAAAAACAAAACATAAAAAAAAAAAAACCAACCCTGAGATTCTTCCCTGGGAAAAGAATTATCTGGTTAACTGCTCACCCAAATCTCCATTTTAATTTGCTTTTGGTACATATGGTGTGATTTGAGTACTTCCGAAGATAAAAGTGAAAAAAAAGCAAAGTTTTTACTATATTTTCTTCCCCTCTTAAGCACTTCATTTGTTTCCACATGAGTTGCTGAAAGTCATATAATATTTTAAGTATATGAGCTTTCAAATTGGCTCACAGGGATTCAAACTAGAAAATCTAACATTTATTAAAGACAGATTGATTGTGTTATAAAACTCGAATGACCCAAAACTCAATTAAACTCCATTAAAGTAAGGTTTTACATGTTACTCACCTCGGCATAATATAAATCAATCAATAACTTTCATTTTTTTCCCAAATAAACATCTTGTACATGCTTATAAATTTTTTCCAGGTGTTTTTCCCTAACTATATTTTCTCTTTTTTTTTTCTTCTTTTTTTTTTTATTTTTTTTTTTTTTATTTTATTCCTTCCCACCAATAAGGCATTTGTTGGCAGCCAGAAGTACCAGCAGGAAAGAAGGGAGTCTTGGGTGTGGAAAGATTTCTCAGCAGTAGCTGGGATGTCACTAAAGTCTTGACTTCAGGTTCAGCTGACCATGAGCAGCCAAGTCACCTCTTCAGCCATCCCTTCTTCTCCTGGTAAGAAACTAGAAGGCTGGCCTGCAGGGCACCTTTCTCCAAAAGTGTCATTCACATCAGATGTTGGGGATGCCTGCCACTTGAGTACAAGTACTTGGGGCAGCAAGTGTTTATAGGAGGGATTCAAGTTTATTTGAGTCTGGGTCTGAAAAAGAGAGAGGGGCTAGCACTTCGAAACTCTCTTCCTTAAGTAGGGGGTCTTACATAAATGTAGTACCATTAGAATGTTTGGTTTGTTTTTAAGGAACTAGAAGTTACGTGCATCACACACACACACACACACACACACACACACACACACACACAGCATTTAAACATGGCTGTGTCACATAGCTCCTTAAAAGTGAAATCATTCTCTAAATCCAGGAGGTAATGGGTTAGTCAGACAATTCATCTGACTATTCATCGCCCTAGTCCACATCATCCTGAGTAATCAATAATTGGGTTAATTTCCCTTAACAAATTGTTCTTCTAATGATTTGGCTTTAATCTGGCCAAACATGTATTCAATACTGGCAGTTTTGCAGTGGCTGAGAGGAAAATGTATGCTTAATGCCTCTTTCTGATAGAGAAGAACCAAAGAAATCAATATGTTCATGGATACGTTCAATGTATGTATCTTCATAACATTTCTTATTTTTTAATTTTTTTGGTAGTGGTAGATGGAAAGTGGGACTTTATTTTATTTATTTTATGTGATGCTAAGAATCAAACCCAGTCCCTCAAGCATGTGAGCCAAGTGCTCTGCCACTGAGCTACAGCCCCAGTTCCTACATTTATTTCTTTTATATGATTAAAAAAATCACATTGATTCAGTTGTTTCAGACATATACATAGTGCTGGGCTGCTCTATAAAGCCTTTATAATTCTGGTTCCAGTATTTGAAATGTAATTTAAATTATTTTAAAATATTTCAAATGTCTATAAAATTAATTTAAGCTATATATATACTATTTAAATATTAATCTGACATTAATATTTAACATTTGACATTAAATATTATAGTGTTTAAAGTATTAAAATATTAATTTAAAATATTTATCAAATTTACAATTAATATTTATTAAAATACTATTTTGGAATTTTGCATCATATGGTCCTTAGACCAGAAGATAAGTTCTTTATAAAAGGAGTTTTTCTGAATTTTATCACCCAGACACTGTTTATATTCACACTGATTTTTTAAACAAGATTTTAAAACAAGAGAAAAATCTGCATTTAATCCAAAATAGGAAATGATTGGAGTAGATAGTGGTTGATTTTTGTTTTTAATTCTAAAGTTTTTAAAGAGAAACAATTGAAGGTGTACAGGAAGTGGCACCTCTATCATGATATACATGATAGGAATCCCCAACTGGAAGATTTGCTAAAAGTTCAGATATCATATGTGACATTGATCCATCTATTAATTGTAAATATAACCATATAGCATTCAGAAGCATAAACTTAAAGATACAGTTTAGCTCTTATTAAGAAAAAGCTTAAAGCTTATATTTTCCTTCTAATTGTTTTTATTCCATTACCAAGATAATTTTGTCAGAAAATAAACAATGATTCTGTTTTGGAGGCTTTCAGATCTTTGATTAGATTTTGCACAATCTGCATGAGCAAGTCACCTTCCAGTACAGCATAGTTTGTCCCAATGTTTGTTGTGACCCTGGTGACATCTATCAAAGGAAATTGCTTATTTCCTTGGCTTTGTTTTCTTTGCTCCATTGACTCTGTGTGGTACATCCAGTTTCAACAGAACAACCTGAAATAGAGCACAGGAAGTGGCACTTCCATCATGATATACAGCAACAATCACTAACTTTCTTTTGTGCCTTTGGCAAACCATGATTGCTGTTCTGCTCAAAAAATGCAGGTCACTGGCCTTTTGGCAAACTCTCTTCATCGCTAGTCTAAATACTTCCTTTGAACACAAAGAAAGGCAAAAGAAGATGTATGAGTTTGGTTATAAACTGGCAGGTTATTTATTCAGACAATGGGAAAAGAAGCCTGGGAAATTTTGATGAGAACAAAAGGAACTTGAAGAAAAAAGGAGTCCCCTGAGGGAGAAAACCTTTGCATTATGAGTTAATGACCATGTCAGAACTGTAATGAAAGGGCAGGGAGTATGAGATCACTTTGTGATCATCACACAATGGAGTCTTAAGATGGTCAATGAGGAGTGCATATATGTAGTCTCTAGCTTGATCTTATAGACATGAATACTTATCTTGCTTTCTTCATTTTATTTCCCCTTCAAATAATCAGATATTAGATGGAACTTGAGGACATCAGGTTAACTGAAATAGCAAAATACAGAAAAACAAATGCTGCATGTTTTTCCTCATATGTGTAAACTTTAAAAAAAATTTTTTTTAAGGACAACCTAAAAGTAGAAGAGAGATTCTACATTGAGTATAATTATACCTCTTCAAAATACTAATCTTCGACTAAAAAAGATGATCTAATTTTCTTACTTTGGATTATTCTCTATAAAACATTCTAAGTAATCTAAAAAAAAATAATAATCAGATATTACAGGGCTCGGGCCTTCTAGGAAACTGAGCCTAAATGCCCCCTGCAAACCCTATTTCAGACAAGCTGCTCAGAGTTACAGGCATGAATGTATTAGAGGGACAGGAAAAGGGAAAGGGGACACTCTCAGGGGAGAGAATGGGTCCTATCAGAGTGGAGAGGGACAGCATGCCTCTCCTGCCCTCCAATTTTATTGGGGGTCCCCAGCAAAGTTTCCAGAGAATCCCCTTTAAGTCCACCTCATGACATTCAAGTCACCACTTCCATGACAACTTTAGGTCACTTTGGTTCACGCTGACTGGTTCTAATTGGAGCCTGGTCTTATAGATATTATGGTTAGGAGAAATTATTTTTATCTCCCTGATTGTTCAGGGATCTGGTCTGTGTTTGGGTCACAACAGTGCTCCCCCCCACACATATACATTTCAGGGTAACTTGTGTTCATATTGAAATTCTAGGGCCTGCATTTTTTTTTTTTTGCAGACAATTTGATGAGGTAATTTGATGAGAAATGTAATTAACATATCCTGTGGACTTTAGTTGGACAGGGCTCAAAATAAATTGCTCTTTAAAAGTAAAAGCATGTGGGGCTGGGTTGTGGCTCAGAGGTAGAGCGCTCATCTACCATGTGTGAGACACTGGGTTCCATCCTCAGCACCACATAAAAATAAAATAAAGATATTGTATCCACCTATAAAAAAAGTATTTTTTTTTAAAAAGTGAAAGCCTGCAGAGGTTAGTACAGTGGGCTGTTTATAGAATTATTCCCTTAACCCTGTGTTCACCCTGTTCAGGTCTGTCTGATCAAGCATCATCTCTTATATGTGTTTTCCTCTTACATCTGGCATAAGAACACACATGGAGTGCAATATAAGGCTCAACCTTGACACTAGGACTTGGTGATTCAAATCTGATTTTTGCATCTGAGATCTTAGTGACCAAGGATCAATTGTTAAATACCTGTTGAGATTGTGGTTTTTCTAATGAATAAGGGATTATAATCCCCAATGTATTTCCTTGCAATGCCTAATTTGCATGAACTTCACTGGGAAAATACAGATTATCTGCTGACCTTTACCAAGTGCTTTGCACATCAGAATTGCTTAATAAACTGATTTTTGTAGTTGTTGATAATGGAGAAGTGGTATATTCTCTCTTTCCTCCATAGTTATGGCAGCTCATGTAATAAAGTTTTCATATGCTCTTTTATTTTTTAGTTTCAAAAGATAATCTTGGCCAAGAAGCTACAAGTTTTTCTCTCTTTCTCTAACATTTCCAAATGTAAGATGAGTTCTCTGCTTACAAATTTAATTGGAAGTATGACATCCATTAAGTTACATTTCATTGACTTTTATCTACATTTACATTTACTCTGCTTATCTACTAGTATTTATTTAGGATTGCCTATCTATGAGCTATAGTGTTGGGGACCGCAGATCAAGTCAAGATGGCGCCTGGCAGTTTGCCAGGAGGAGTGGTTTGTGGAGCAACACCACTGAGCCATTAAGTTGGTGGAGATTCCTTATTGGCTGATTGCTGTAACTGGATGATGCTAATTGAGTCAAGCTGTGTGTAATCAGGTATATATACCTCTGCTGTTTTTCATTAAGGCAGCTCCTGCTACCTTGGGTTCTCGCTCAGTTCCCGCTGAGTTTTCCCTACAATAAAGCAGTTCCTGCTTCAACCTTCAAGTTGCTTGTCACCACCCGGTTATTTTGTCCAGCCAGACTGCATCACTATAGAAATTCTCTCATGTCTTCCTTCTTCTTTCATCATGATAAACTTTTCCAGATACTTCCTATGATTTTAGGAATAGTATAGGGAAAGAATAATTTCATCATTAAGTTTTCTAGCTTCTGTATGAGGGATAAGCTTAATTCAGAGGTAACATAGTGAGTCAGTTAGCTATCACTACATAATAAACTACCCTCCAGTTTAAGCATCTTAAATACCAACTTCTTCTTATTAGTATTTCTTAAACTAGCAACCATACTATCTGGCAAGTTCCACTGACCTGAGAAACTGACTAATCTCAGACTCCTTTGTATGTCTGTGGTTAACTGGAGGGTTGGATGCTTACTGCGACAACTCATTCTCCTTCGTGTGTGTCTCATGTTCCTGCAGCAAGCAGCCAAAGCATTGTTTAAAAAAATATATTTTTTTAGTTGTTGGTGGACCTTTATTTTACTTATTTATATGTGATGCTGAGATTTGAACCCAGTGCCTCATGCATACTAGGCAAGCGCTCTAACACTGAGCTACACCCCCAGCTTGGCCAAAACATTTTATAATGGTGGTGGCCAGGGTTGCAAAAAGATACACAAAACTGTTGTAGCATTGTTTTTAAGGCTCTTCTTTCACTGATTTCATCAAAGCAAGACTGAACTCACACTCATTACAGGAGGGCACTTACCAAGGGCAGACTACAGGGAGGTATAGGAAATTGGGGACATTATAAAGAATTGGATTCTTCCTTG